ATTTGGTGGGATTTGGGTAGGAATTAGAGAATTCGTGTAGGAATTGGAGAATTTGGTGGCATTTGGGATGGGATTGGAAAATTTGGGTGGGAATTTGGTGGGAATTGGGGAATTTGGGTAGGAACTGGGGAATTTGGGTAGGAATTGGAGGAATTTGGTGGGATTTTTATAGGAATTGGAGAATTTGGGTGGGAATTGGGGGAATTTGGTGGGATTTGCATAGGAATTAGAGAATTTGGATGGGATTTGGGTAGGAATTGGAGAATTTGGGTTGGAATTGGGGAAAATGTGTGGGATTTGGATGGGAATTTGAGGAATTCGGGTAGGAATTACAGAATTTGGGTGGGATTTGGGATGGGATTAGAGAATTTGGGTGGGAATTGGGGGAATTTGGTGGGAATTGGAAAATCTGGTGGGAATTTGGGTAGGAATTGGAGAATTTGGGTGGTAACTGGAGAAATGTAGTGGGATTTGAGAAGGAATTGGAGAATTTGGGTGGGAATTGGGGTAATTTGGTGGGATTTGGGTAGGAATTGGTGAATTTGGGTGGGAATTGGAAAATTTGGTGGGAATTAGGGAATTTGGGAGGGAATTGGAGAATTTGGGGGGAATTGTGTGGGATTTGAGTTGGATTTGGACAATTTGGGTGGGAATTGGGCAGGAATTGGAGAATTTCGTGGGATTTGGGTAGGGAATGGAGAATTTGGGTGGGAATTGGAAAATTTGGTGGGATTTGGGTAGGAATTAGAGGAGGTAATTTGGGGGGATTTAGGAATTAGAGAATTTGGGTGGGAATTGGGGGAATTTGGATGGGATTTGGGTAGGAATTGGGGGAATTTGGGTAGGAATTGGAGAATTTGGGTGGGAATTGGAAAATTTGGTGGGATTTGGGTGGGAATTGCCGGAATTTGTTGGGATTTGCATAGGAATTGGAGAATTCAGGTAGGAATTATGTAGGAATTAGAGAATTTGGGTGGGAAGTGGGGGAATTTGGTGGGATTTGAGATGGAATTGGAGAATTTGAGGGGGAATTGGGTAGGAATTAGAGAATTCAGACAGGAATTGGAGAATTTGGTGGGAATTGGGGAATTTTGATGGGATGTGGGTAGGAATTGGAGAATTTGGGTGGGAATTGGAAAATTTGGTGGGAATTGGGGAATTTGGGAAGGAATTGGAGGAATTTGGTGGGATTCATATAGGAATTGGAGAATTTGGGTGGGAACTGGAAAATTTGGTGGGAATTGGGGAATTTGGGTGGGAATTGGAGAAATTTGGGTGGGAATTGGACAAATTTTGTGGGATTTATATAGAAACTGGAGAATTTGGTTGGGAACTGGAAAATTTGGTGGGAATTGGGGAATTTGGGTGGGAATTGGAGGAATTTGAGAAGGAATTGTAGGATTTGGGTGGGAATCCTAGGAATTTTGTGGCATTTAGGTAGGTATTCAAGAATTTGGGTGGGAACTGGGGAATTTGGGTGGGATGTGGGGGAATTAGGTAGGATTTGGGTAGGAATTGGAGAATTTGGGTGGGAATTGGAGAATGTGGGTGGGAATTGGGGAATTTGGTGGGATGTGGGTGGGAATTAGAGAATTTAGGTGGGAATTATGTAGGAATTCGAGAATTTGGGGGGATTTGTATAGGAATTGGAGAATTTGGGGGAATTTTGGTGGGATTTAGGTAGGAATTGGAGAATTTGGGTGGGAATTGTAAAATTTGGTGGGAATTGGGGAATTTGGAAGGAAATTGGAGGAATTTGGGTAGGAATTGGAGAATTCGTGTGAGAATTGGGGGAATTTGGTGGGATTTGGGTAGGAATTCAAGAATTTGGGTGGGAACTGGGGAATTTGGGTGAGATGTGTGGGAATTGGGTAGGATTTGGATAGGAATTGGGGGAATTTGGGTAGGAATTAGAGAATTAGGGTGGGAATTGGAAAATTTGGTGGGATTCGGGTGGGAATTAGAGAATTTGGGTGGGAATTGGAGGAATTTTGTGGGATTTATATAGAAACTGGAGAATTTGGTTGGGAATTGGAAAATCTGGTGGGAATTGGGGAATTTGGGTGGGAATTGGATGAATTTGGGAAGGAATTGGAGGAATTTGCGTGGGAATTGGGGAATTTGGTGGGATTTAGGTAGAAATTCAAGAATTTGGGTGGGAATTGGGGGAATTTGGGAAGGAATTGGAGAATTTGTGTGGGAATTGGGTAGGAATTAGAGAATTTGGTGGGATTTGGGATGGGATTGGAGAATTTGGGTGAGAATTGGGGGAATTTGGTGGGATTTAGGTAGAAAGTCAATAATTTGAGTTGGAATTGGAGGAATTTGGGTGGGAATTGGAAAATTTGGTGGGAATTGGGGAATTTGGGTGGGAATTGGAGGAATTTGGTGGGATTTATATAGAAACTGGAGAATTTGGTTGGGAATTGGAAAATTTGGTGGGAATTGGGGAATTTTGGAGGGAATTGGAGGAATTTGGGTGGGAATTGGGGAATTTGGTGGGATTTAGGTAGAAATTCAAGAATTTGGGTGGGAATTGGAAATTTGGGTGGGAATTGGGGGAATTTGGGAAGGAATTGGAGAATTTGGGTAGGAATTAGAGAATTTGGTGGGATTTGGGATGGGATTGGGGAATTTGGGTGGGAATTGGAGGAATTTGGTGGGATTTGGGTGGGAATTCCAGAATTCGGGTTGGAATTTGGGGAATTTGGGTGGAATTGGGGCTATTTTGGGGCTATTTCAATGCCTTTTGGTGCTTCCCCCCCCCCCCCCCCCCGCGTCGGCCCCGCCCCCTTGGTGACGTCACCACGCCCCGCGCCCCTGGGGGTGGGAAGGTTCATTTATTCAATGGGGGCGGGGCTTGAGGCATCAGCAGCCAATCAGAACCCGCCTCCCCCCCCCCCCCCCCGCCCCTTTCCTCCTCCCATAGACCCACACTTGGGGGTTGCGCTGTGGGGCACGGAAAAGGGGGGGGGGGGGGGTGGTAAACGCTATGGGGCAGCCAAGGCTGTGGGGCAGAGCTGCTGCTCCTATGGGGCTGGGCCCCACGCGTTGTACTTGGGGGGCAGGCCCAGGCCCCTTCCTATGGGTCCAAGCACTCCGTGGGTTACTTATGGGGCTCGCCAAGGCCCTCTATGGGTCCGCATGCCACTTATGGGGCACTCCACGTTGGACGTGTGGGTCCGAGTCCTACTTATGGGCCGCTCCATGCCCCGCTATGGGTCCACGTGTTACTTGTGGGTCGCTCCGTGGGTCCATGTGTTACCTATGGGTTGCTCCACGCCTCGCTATGGGTCCATGTGTTACTTATGGGTCGCTCCATATCTTACTTATGGGTCGCTCCAGGCCCTGCTATTGGTCCACATCTCACTTATGGGTCGCTCCGTGGGTCCGTGTGTTACTTATGGGTCGCTCCATGCCCTGCTATTGGTCCATATCTTACTTATGGGTCACTCCATATCTTACTTATGGGTCCCTCCTTGGGTCCATGTGTTACTTATGGGTTGCTCCATGCCCCGCTATGGGTCCATGTGTTACTTATGGGTCGCTCCACGCCCCGCTATGGGTCCATGTGTGACTTAAGGGTCACTCCACACCTTACTTATGGGTCGCTCCATGCCCCACTATGGGTCCATGCGTTACTTATGGGTCGCTCCATGCCCCGCCATGGGTCCATGTGTGACTTATGGGTCACTCCACATCTTACTTATGGGTCGCTCCACGCCCCGCTATGGGTCCATGCGTTACTTATGGGTCACTCCATGCCCCACTATGGGTCCATGTGTTACTTATGGGTCGCTCCAGGCCCTGCTATGGGTCCATGTGTGACTTATGGGTCACTCCACATCTCACTTATGGGTTGCTCCATGCCCCGCCATGGGTCCATGCGTTACTTATGGGTTGCTCCACGTTACTTATGGGTCACTCCATGCCCCGCCATGGGTCCATGTGTTACTTATGGGTCGCTCCACGCCCCACTATGGGTCCATGTGTTACTTATGGGTCACTCCACATCTTACTTATGGGTTGCTCCACACCCCAATATGGGTCCATGCGTTACTTATGGGTCGCTCCATGCCCCGCTATGGGTCCATGTGTGACTTATGGGTCGCTCCATGTTACTTATGGGTCACTCCACGCCCCGCTATGGGTCCATGTGTGACTTATGGGTCGCTCCACGTTACTTATGGGTCACTCCACACCCCACTATGGGTCCACGCGTTACTTATGGGTTGCTCCATGTTACTTATGGGTCGCTCCACATTACTTATGGGTCGCTCCACGTTACTTATGGGTCGCTCCACGCCCCACCATGGGTCCACGCGTTACTTATGGGTCGCTCCACGTTACTTATGGGTCGCTCCACGCCCCACCATGGGTCCATGTGTTACTTATGGGCCGCTCCACGTTACTTATGGGTCGCTCCATGCCCCACCATGGGTCCACGCATTACTTATGGGTCGCTCCACGTTACTTATGGGTCGCTCCACATCTCACTTATGGGTTGCTCCACGCCCCACTATGGGTCCATGCGTTACTTATGGGTCGCTCCACGTTACTTATGGGTCGCTCCACGCCCCACCATGGGTCCACGCGTTACTTATGGGTCGCTCCACGTTACTTATGGGTCGCTCCACGTTACTTATGGGTCGCTCCACGTGACTTATGGGTCGCTCCACGCCCCACCATGGGTCCACACGTTACTTATGGGTCGCTCCACGTTACTTATGGGTCGCTCCACGTGACTTATGGGTCGCTCCACGCCCCACCATGGGTCCACGCGTTACTTATGGGTCGCTCCACGTTACTTATGGGTCGCTCCACACCCGCTATGGGTCCCCCTCTTCCAACCGCCCCACTCCACATCTCACTTATGGGTCCCACCACACCCCCCCCCCCACCCCCACCCCCCCCCATCGCCTCCACCTCCTCTCCGTGCCCCACACACGGCTCAGTCCTCGCCCCACGGGGCGGGGGTGGGGGGGGTGGGGGGAGGGGAGTCACTGGGGCGCTGTGGGGCAGAGCTCGGCCTCCAGGGCCTCGAAGGCCTCGAGCATCGCGGCGCGGACGCGCTCGGTGAGGGCGGGGACGTCGTCGGGCCCCAAACCCGCGGTGGGGAGAGGGGGCAGCACCTGGATCACACAGCGGCCTGGGGCAGAGAGACGGGACCCACGGACACCATGGGGACACCATAGAGACCCATAGAGACCATAGAGACACATAGAGACACATAGAGACACATAGAGACACATAGAGACCATAGAGACACATAGGGACACATAGGGACACATAGGGACACATAGAGACCCATAGAGACACATAGGGACACATAGGGACACATAGAGACACATAGGGACACATAGAGACACATAGAGACACATAGAGACACATAGGGACACATAGAGACACATAGAGACACATAGGGACACATAGAGACACATAGAGACACATAGGGACACATAGAGACCATAGAGACACATAGAGACACATAGGGACACATAGGGACACATAGAGACACATAGAGACACATAGAGACCATAGAGACACGTAGGGACACATAGGGACACATAGGGACACATAGGGACACATAGAGACACATAGAGACACATAGAGACCATAGGGACACATAGGGACACATAGAGACACATAGAGACACATAGAGACCATAGGGACACATAGAGACACATAGGGACACATAGGGACACATAGAGACACATAGAGACACATAGAGACCATAGAGACCCCATAGAGCCCCATAGAGACCCATAGAGCCCCATAGAGCCCCACAGACCAATAGAGCCCCATAGACCCCATAGAGCCCCACAGAGTCCCATAGAGCCCCATAGACACCATAGAGCCCCCACAGACCCCATAGAACCCCATAGACCCCCATAGAGCCCCATAGAGCCCCATAGAACCCCATAGAGCCCATAGAGCCCCACAGACCCCATAGAGCCCCATAGAGCCCCATAGAACCCCATAGAACCCCATAGAGCCCCATAGAACCCCATAGAGCCCCATAGAGCCCCACAGACCCCATAGAGCCCCATAGAGCCCCACAGACCCCATAGAGCCCCATAGAGCCCCATAGAACCCCATAGAGCCCCATAGAGCCCCATAGAGCCCCATAGAGCCCCATAGAGCCCCATAGAGCCCCATAGAACCCCATAGAGCCCCACAGAGCCCCATAGAGCCCCATAGAGCCCCATAGAGCCCCATAGAGCGCCCTGCCCCACAGCTCCTCACCGGGGGTGAATCTCCGCTCCCGTTTGCTATAGAAGTGCTGGTAGGAGGAGATGACAATGGGGACAACGGGGACCTGTGGGGCAGGAGGGCTCAGTGGGGCTGCCCCATAGAGCCCCATGGCTGCCCCATAGAGCCCCACACCTGCCCCATAGAGCCCCACGCCTGCCCCATAGAGCTCCATGGCTGCCCCATAGAGCCCCACGCCTGCCCCACAGGGACCCCCTAGAGGCCCATAGAGGCCCACAGCTGCCCCATAGGGACCCCTTAGAGGCCCATAGAGCCCCATGGCCACCCCATAGAGCCCCATGGCTGCCCCATAGAGACCCCCTAGAGGCCCACAGAGCCCCATGGCCACCCCATAGAGCCCCACGGCTGCCCCATAGAGCCTCACAGCTGCTCCAGAGGCCCCATAGAGAACCCACAGAAACCCATAGAGCCCCATACCCACCCCATAGCTGCCCCATAGAGACCCAGAGACCCCCACCCCTGCCCCACAGAGACCCATAGCTGCCCCATAGAGCCCCAACCCTGCCCCATAGAGACCCATAGAGCCCCACCCATGCCCCATAGAGACCCCATAGAACCCCAGAGACCCATAGAACCCCACCCCTGCCCCAGAGACCCCACAGAACCCCAACCCTGCCCCATAGAACCCCCACCCTGCCCCATAGAGACCCCATAGAACCCCACCCATGCCCCATAGAGACCCATAGAACCCCACCCCTGCCCTATAGAGACCCCATAGAACCCCACCCCTGCCCCATAGAACCCCAACCCTGCCCCATAGAGCCCCACAGAGACCCCACAGAACCCCACCACTGCCCCATAGAGCACCACCCCTGCCCCATAGACCCACAGAACCCCACCCCTGCCCCACAGAGACCCACCCCTGCCCCATAGAACCCGACCCCTGCCCCACAGAGACCCATAGAACCCCAAACCTGCCCCATAGAGCCCCACAGAGACCCCACAGAACCCCATCACTGCCCCATAGACCCACAGAATCCCACCCCTGCCCCATAGAATCCCAACTCTGCCCCACAGAGACCCATGGAACCCCACCCCTGCCCCACATTACCCCACCCCTGCCCCATAGAGCCCCACAGAGACCCCCCCCCGCCCCATAGGACCCCACCCCTGCCCCATAGAGACCCCCCCCGCCCCATAGAACCCCTGCCCCATAGACCCACAGAACCCCACCCCTGCCCCATAGAACCCCACCCCTGCCCCATAGAGACCCCACCCCTGCCCCATAGAACCCCTGCCCCATAGACCCACAGACCCCCCCCCCGCCCCATAGAACCCCTGCCCCATAGACCCACAGAACCCCAACCCTGCCCCATAGAACCCCCCCCCTGCCCCATAGAGCCCCACAGAACCCCACCCCTGCCCCATAGAGACCCCCCCCCCGCCCCATAGAACCCCTGCCCCACAGCTGCCCCCTAGCGCCCCACCTGCGCCTGCACGGCCAAGTGGAAGGCCCCGCGCTTGAAGGGCAGCATCGAGCCGCTGTGGTTGCGCGTCCCCTCCGGGAAGACCCAGACCCGCACCTGGGGGGCAGAGACGTGTGGGGCTGCCCCATAGCGATGCATGGGGGGGGCCCCATAGAGACACGGGGGGGGGGGGGGGGGGGGTAACACAGAGCCCTCATGGCCTGGCTGAGCATGGTGCGTGCGGCCTGGGCCATGGTGCTGCCCCATAGAATCCCCTCTGCCCCACAGATCCCCACTGATCCCCATAGAAGCTATGGGGCAGCCCCATAGTGGCCTCATGGAGCGGCTGAGCATGGTGTGCGCGGCCTGGGCCATGGCGCTGCCCCATAGATCCCCATAGATCCCAGCCCCATAGAAGCCCCCCAGCCCCATAGCATCCATGGGGCAGCCCCACAGTGCGCTCACGTCCTGGCTCAGCATGGTGTGCGCGGCCTGGGCCATGGTGCTGCCCCATAGAACCCCCTCTGCCCCATAGATCCCTATAGATCCCAGCCCCATAGACCCCCCCCAAGCCCCACAGCGTCCATGGGGCAGCCCCAGAGCGCGCTCACGTCCTGGCTCAGCATGGTGTGCGCGGCCTGGGCCATGGCACTGCTCCATAGAACCCCCTCTGCCCCATAGATCCCTATAGATCCCAGCCCCATAGACCCCCCCCAGCCCCATAGCATCCATGGGGCAGCCCCACAGCGCGCTCACGTCCTGGCTCAGCATGGTGTGTGCGGCCTGGGCCATGGCACTGCCCCATAGAACCCTTCTGCTCCACAGAACCCCCTCTGCCCCATAGATCCCCATAGATCCCAGCCCCATAGAACCCCCCCAGCCCCATAGCGTCCATGGGGCAGCCCCAGAGCGCGCTCACGTCCTGGCTGAGCATGGTGTGCGCGGCCTGGGCCATGGTGCTGCCCCATAGAACCCCATAGATCCCAGCCCCATAGAACCCCCCTAGCCCCATAGCATCCATGGGGCAGCCCCAGAGCGCGCTCACGTCCTGGCTCAGCATGGTGTGCGCGGCCTGGGCCATGGTGCTGCCCCATAGAACCCCATAGATCCCAGCCCCATAGAACCCCCCCAGCCCCATAGCATCCATGGGGCAGCCCCAGAGCGCGCTCACGTCCTGGCTCAGCATGGTGTGCGCGGCCTGGGCCATGACACTGCCCCATAGAATCCCCTCTGCCCCATAGATCCCCACAGACCCCCAGCCCCATAGACCCCCCCCAGCCCCATAGCATCCATGGGGCAGCCCCACAGCGCGCTCACGTCCTGGCTCAGCATGGTGTGCGCGGCCTGGGCCATGGTGCTGCCCCATAGAACCCCCTCTGCCCCATAGATCCCTATAGATCCCAGCCCCATAGACCCCCCCCAGCCCCATAGCATCCATGGGGCAGCCCCACAGCGCGCTCACGTCCTGGCTCAGCATGGTGTGCGCGGCCTGGGCCATGGTGCTGATGGCGTCGCGGGGCCGGCGCCGGTCGATGAAGATGATGCCCCCCAACCAGGACACGAGCCCCACGGCGCCCATGAAGAGCAGCTCCCGCTTGGCGATGGGCACGCAGCGGTCGGGCAGCACCTCCATCATCCCTGTGGGGTGGGTATGGGGTGGCTGTGGGGTGGGTGTGGGGTGGGTATGGGGTGGTTATGGGGTGGTTATGGGGTGGCTGTGGGGTGGTTGTGGGGTGGTTGTGGGGCAGGATGTGGGGTGGGTATGGGGTGGCTGTGGGGTGGTTATGGGGTGGCTGTGGGGTGGTTGTGGGGTGGTTGTGGGGCAGGATGTGGGGTGGGTATGGGGTGGCTGTGGGGTGGTTGTGGGGCAGGATGTGGGGTGGGTATGGGGTGGCTGTGGGGTGGTTGTGGGGCAGGATGTGGGGTGGGTATGGGGTGGCTGTGGGGTGGGTGTGGGGCAGGATGTGGGGGGGGTATGGGGTGGCTGTGGGGCAGGCGGTGGGGTGGGTATGGGGTGGGTATGGGGTGGCTGTGGGGTGGTTATGGGGCAGGATGTGGGGTGGCTATGGGGTGGGTATGGGGTGGCTGTGGGGTGGTTATGGGGCAGGATGTGGGGTGGCTGTGGGGTGGGTATGGGGTGGCTGTGGGGTGGTTGTGGGGCAGGCGGTGGGGTGGGTATGGGATGGTTATGGGGTGGTTATGGGGCAGGCTATGGGGTGGTTGTGGGGCAGGATGTGGGGTGGGTATGGGGTGGCTGTGGTGTGGTTATGGGGTGGCTGTGGGGTGGCTGTGGGGTGGGTATGGGGTGGGTATGGGGTGGCTGTGGGGTGGTTATGGGGTGGCTGTGGGGTGGGTATGGGGTGGCTGTGGGGTGGTTGTGGGGTGGGTATGGGGTGGCTGTGGGGTGGCTGTGGGGTGGGTATGGGGTGGCTGTGGGGTGGCTGTGGGGTGGCTATGGGGTGGTTATGGGGTGGCTGTGGGGTGGTTATGGGGCAGGATATGGGGTGGGTATGGGGCAGGCTGTGGGGTGGCTATGGGGTGGTTATGGGGTGGCTATGGGGTGGTTGTGGGGCAGGCGGTGGGGTGGCTATGGGGCTGAGTGTGGGGCTGAGTGTGGGGCGGCTGTGGGGTGGCTGTAGGGCAGGCTATAGGGTGGCTATGGGGTGGCTGTGGAGCTGAGTGTGGGGTGGCTGTGGGGTGGTTATGGGGCTGAGTGTGGGGTGGCTGTGGGGCAGGCTATGGGGTGGCTATGGGGTGGCTATGGGGCAGGCTGTGGGGTGGGCTATGGGGTGGCTATGGGGCAGACTATGGGGCTGAGTGTGGGGTGTCAATGGGGCAGGCTATGGGGCAGTCTATGGGGTGGCTATGGGGCAGGCTATGTGGCAGCTATGGGGCTGAGTGTGGGGTGGCTATGGGGTGGCTGTGGGGTAGAGTGTGGGGTGTTTGTGAGGCAGGCTATGGGGTGTCAATGGGCAGGCTATGGGCCAGCTATGGGGCAGAGTGTGGGGTGTCTGTGGGGCAAGCTATGGGGTAGCCTATGGGGCACACTGTGGGGTGTCTGTGGGGCAGGCTATAGGGCAGGTGTGGGGCAGGCTATAGGATGGCTACGTGGCAGGGTGTGGGGCAGGGCGTGAGGTGTCAATGGGGCAAGCGATGGGACAGGTGTGGGGCAGGATGTGGAGCATTGTGTGAAGCGTCTATGGGGCAGGCTATGGGGCAGCGTGTGGGGTGTCTATGGGGCAGGCTATGGGGTGCCTCTGTGGCAGGCTATGGGGCAGCGTGTGGGGCAGGCTGGGGGGTGTCTATGGGGCAGATGCGGGGCAGGGTCTGAGGTTTCTATGGGGCAGGTGTGGGGCAGGCTATAGGATGGCTATGGGGCAGGGAGTGGGACAGGGTGTGAGGTGCCCATGGGGTGGCTATAGGACAGGCTATGGGGCAGGGTGTGGGGCAGGCTATAGAGCAGCTATGGGGCAGGGTGAGGGGTGTCTGTGGGGCAGGCTGGGGGGTGACTATGGGGCAGATGTGGGGCAGACTATAGAATGGCTATGGGGCAGGGAGTGGGACAGGGTGTGATGTGTCTATGGGGCGCCTATAGGGTGGCTATGGAGCAGCCTATGGGGCAGGGTGTGAGGTGGCTATGGGGTGCCTATAGGGCGGCTATGGGGCAGCCTATGGGGCAGATGTGGGGCAGGCTATAGAATGGCTATGGGGCAGGGAGTGGGACAGGGTGTGACGTGTCTATGGGGCGCCTATAGGGTAGCTATAGGGCAGCCTATGGGGCAGGGTGTGAGGTGGCTATGGGGCACCTATAGGGTGGCTATGGGGTGGCTACGGGGTATCTATGGGGTGTCTATGGGGTGTCTATGGGGTGTCTATGGGGCGGCTATGGGGTGGCTATGGGGCGGCTATGGGGCGGCTATGGGGTGTCCATGGGGTGTCCATGGGGTGTCTATGGGGTGTCCATGGGGTGTCTATGGGGTGTCTATGGGGCGGCTATGGGGTGTCCATGGGGTGTCCATGGGGTGTCTATGGGGTGTCCATGGGGTGTCTATGGGATGTCTATGGGGTATCTATGGGGTGTCCATGGGGTATCTATGGGGTGTCTATGGGGTATCTATGGGGTGTCTATGGGGTGTCTATGGGGTGTCTATGGGGTGTCTATGGGGTGTCCATGGGGTGTCCATGGGGCGGCTATGGGGCGGCTATGGGGTGTCCATGGGGTGTCCATGGGGTATCTATGGGGTGTCTATGGGGTGTCTATGGGGCGGCTATGGGGCGGCTATGGGGTGTCCATGGGGTGTCTATGGGATGTCTATGGGGTATCTATGGGGTGTCCATGGGGTGTCTATGGGGTGTCTATGGGGTGTCCATGGGGTGTCTATGGGGTGTCTATGGGGTGGCTATGGGGTGTCTATGGGGTGTCCATGGGGTGTCCATGGGGTGTCTATGGGGTGTCTATGGGGTGTCTATGGGGTGTCTATGGGGTGTCCATGGGATGTCTATGGGGTGTCTATGGGGTGTCTATGGGGTGTCTATGGGGTGTCCATGGGGCAGCTATGGGGTGTCTATGGGGTGTCTATGGGGTGTCCATGGGGTGTCCATGGGGTGTCCATGGGGTATCTATGGGGTATCTATGGGGTGTCTATGGGGTGTCTATGGGGTGTCTATGGGGCGGCTATGGGGTGGCTATGGGGCGGCTATGGGGTGTCCATGGGGTGTCCATGGGGTGTCTATGGGGTGTCCATGGGGTGTCTATGGGGTGTCTATGGGGCGGCTATGGGGTGTCCATGGGGTGTCCATGGGGTGTCCATGGGGTGTCTATGGGATGTCTATGGGGTATCTATGGGGTGTCCATGGGGTATCTATGGGGTGTCTATGGGGTATCTATGGGGTGTCTATGGGGTGTCTATGGGGTGTCTATGGGGTGTCTATGGGGTGTCCATGGGGTGTCCATGGGGCGGCTATGGGGCGGCTATGGGGTGTCCATGGGGTGTCCATGGGGTATCTATGGGGTGTCTATGGGGTGTCTATGGGGCGGCTATGGGGCGGCTATGGGGTGTCCATGGGGTGTCTATGGGATGTCTATGGGGTATCTATGGGGTGTCCATGGGGTGTCTATGGGGTGTCTATGGGGTGTCTATGGGGTGTCTATGGGGTGTCCATGGGGTGTCTATGGGGTGTCTATGGGGTGTCCATGGGGTGTCTATGGGGTGTCTATGGGGTGTCTATGGGATGTCTATGGGGTGTCCATGGGATGTCTATGGGGTGTCTATGGGGTGGCTATGGGGTGGCTATGGGGTGTCTATGGGGCGGCTATGGGGTGTCCATGGGGTGTCCATGGGGTGTCTATGGGGTGTCTATGGGGTGTCTATGGGGCAGGTGTGGGGCACGCACCCATGAGGTCCAGGGAGCTCTGGTGGTTGCTCACCACCACATAGGGCTGGCGGGGGGGCAGGAGCTGGGCCCCCCTCACGGCCATGCGGATCCCATAGAGGCGCTTGACGTGCTGCAGCAGCGCCCGGATGATCCTGCCCCATAGAGACCCATAGAGACCCCATAGAGACACATAGAGACCCATAGAGACCCATAGAGACCCATAGAGACCCATAGAGACACATAGAGACCCATAGAGACCATAGAGACCCATAGAGACCCATAGAGACACATAGAGACACATAGAGACCCATAGAGACCCCATAGAGACACATAGAGACCCATAGAGACCATAGAGACCCATAGAGACCCATAGAGACCCATAGAGACCCATAGAGACCCATAGAAGCCATAGAGACCCACAGAAACCTATAGAGACCCATAGAGACCCACAGCGACCCATAGAAACCATAGAAACCCATAGAGACCCATAGAGACAGACCCACAGAAACCCCATAGAGAGAGACCCATAGAAACCTATAGAATCATCCCCTCGGACACCTCCGGAGTCCCCCCCACAGACCCCACATAAACCCCCCCATAGAGCCCCATAAATACCCCACAGAGCGCCCCATAGGCTCCCACAGACCCCCATAACCCCCCCATAGAGCCCCATAGACCCCCATAACCCCCCCATAGATCCCCACAGACCCCCTATAACCCCCCATAGAGCCCCATAAGTACCCCACAGAGCGCCCCATAGATCCCCATAGAGCCCCATAACCCCCCCATAAACCCCCCATAACCCCCCCATAGGTACCCCACAGAACCCCCCATAGGCTCCCATAGATCCCTATAGACCCCCATAACCCCCCCATAGATCCCCATAGACCCCCCATAACCCCCCCATAGAGCCCCATAAGTACCCCACAGAGCCCCCCATAGGCTCCCATAGACCCCCATAACCCCCCCATAGAGCCCCTATAACCCCCCATAGACCCTCTATACCCCCCCCATAGAGCCCCATAGATACCCCACAGAGCCCCCATAGGCTCCCACAGAGCCCCATAACCCCCGTATAGAGCCCCATAGATCCCCCCCATAGCCCTGTATAACCCCCCATAGCCCCCCATAGAGCCCCATAACCCCCCCAAAGCCCCCCATAACCCTCCTTAGAGCCCCATAGACCCCCAATAACGCCCCATAACCCCCCCATAGAGCCCCATAGATACCCCACAGACCCCCGTACAGACCCCCATAGCCCCCCCCATAGCCCTGTATAACCCCCCATAGCCCCCCATAACCCCCCATAGAGCTCCATAGAGCCCCATAACCTCCATAGAGTCCCATAGACCCCCCCACAGCCCCCCCATAAAGCCTGAGAAACACCCCATAACCTACCATAGAGCCCCATAGATACCCATAACCCTCCACAGAGCCCCATGGACACCCCATAGCCCCCCATAGACCCCCCCCCATAGAGCCCCATAGACCCCCATAACCCCCCCATGGACCCCCATAGACACCCCATAGACCCCCTAGAGGACCCCATAGCCCCCTCCATAGAGCCGTATAACCCCCTCCTAGAGCCCCATAGACCCCCATAACCCCCCCATGGACACCCCATAGACCCCCATAGGACCCCATAGCCCCCCCATAGAGCCCCATAACCCCCCCTATAGACTCCCATAGACCCCCCATAGCCCCCCCCATAGAGCCCCATAGACCCCCATAACCCCCCCATGGACACCCCATAGACCCCTACAGGACCCCATAGCCCCCCTATAGGGACCCATTGGCCCCCACATAGAGCCCCATAACCCCCCCATAGAGTCCCACAGAGCCCCCATAGAGCCCCATAGACCCCCATAACCCCCCCATAGCCCCCTCCATAGAGCCCCATAGACCCCCATAACCCCCCCCATAGCCCCCTCCATAGAGCCCCATAGACACCCATAACCCCCCCCATAGCCCCCTCCATAGAGCCCCATAGACCCCCATAACCCCCCCCATAGCCCCCTCCATAGAGCCCCATAGACCCCCATAACCCCCCCATAGCCCCCTCCATAGAGCCCCATAGACCCCCATAACCCCCATAACCCCCCCCATAGCCCCCTCCATAGAGCCCCATAGACCCCCATAACCCCCCCATAGCCCCCTCCATAGCCCCCTCCATAGAGCCCCATAGACCCCCATAACCCCCCCCATAGCCCCCTCCATAGAGCCCCATAGACCCCCATAACCCCCCCCATAGCCCCCCATAACTCCCCCCAATAGCGCCCCACGGCGGCCCCATAGCGCCCCACGGCCTCACTTCATGTTCTCGACGTCGCGGCCGCGGGGGGCGCAGAGGGGGATGGCGGCGAGGGCCAGCACCAGGATCCAGCCGTTGTAGAACCCCATCTTGCACCAGAACCGGAACCGGCCCCAGCGCCCGTACAGCAACGGCAGCAGCACCGCGCCCAGCGCCAGCAGCACGCACAGCCACGGAGACATGGCCTGGGGGGGGGGAGAGGGGGCTCGCACCCGGCAACGGGCAGCGACGGAGCTCAAACGGGCGGGGACGCAACAGAAACGGGCGAAAACGGACTCGAAACGGGCGGGGACGCAACAAAAACGGGCGAAAACGGACCCGAAACGGGCGGGGACGCAACAGAAACGGGCGAAAACGGACCCGAAAAGGGCGAGAAAGCAACAGAAACGGGCGAAAACGGACTCGAAACGGGCGGGGACGCAACAGAAACGGGCGAAAACGGAACCGAAACGGGCGAGAAATCAACAGAAACGGGCGGAAACGCACCCGAAACGGGCGGGGACGCAACAGAAATGGGCGAAAACGGACTCGAAACGGGCGGGGACGCAACAGAAACGGGCGAAAACGGACCCGAAACGGGCGGGGACGCAACAGAAACGGGCGAAAACGGACTCGAAACGGGAGGGGACGCAACAGAAACGGGCGAAAACGGACTCGAAACGGGAGGGGACGCAACAGAAATGGGCGAAAACGGACCCGAAAAGGGCGAGAAAGCAACAGAAACGGGCGAAAACGGACTCGAAACGGGCGAGAAAGCAACAGAAACGGGCGAAAACGGACCCGAAACGGGCGAGAAAGCAACAGAAACGGGCGAAAACGGACTCGAAACGGGCGGGGACGCAACAGAAACGGGCGAAAACGGACTCGAAACGGGAGGGGACGCAACAGAAATGGGCGAAAACGGACCCGAAAAGGGCGAGAAAGCAACAGAAACGGGCGAAAACGGACTCGAAACGGGCGAGAAAGCAACAGAAACGGGCGAAAACGGACTCGAAACGGGCGAGAAAGCAACAGAAACGGGCGAGAAAGCAACAGAAACGGGCGAGAAAGCAACAGAAACGAGCGAGGACGCAACAGAAATGGGCGAAAACGGACTCGAAACGGGAGGGGACGCAACAGAAACGGGCGAGAAAGCAAGAGAAACGGGCGAGAAAGCAAGAGAAACGGGCGAGAAAGCAAGAGAAACGGGCGAGAAAGCAACAGAAACGGGCGAGAAAGCAACAGAAACGGGCGAGAAAGCAACAGAAACGGGCGAAAACGGACTCGAAACGGGAGGGGACGCAACAGAAACGGGCGAAAACAGAACCGAAACGGGCGAGAAAGCAACAGAAACGGGCGAGGACGCAACAGAAACGGGCGAAAACGGACCCGAAACGGGCGGGGACGCACCAGAAACGGGCGAAGACGCAACAGAAACGGGCGAGAAAGCAACAGAAACGGGCGAGAAAGCAACAGAAACGGGAGAGGACAGGCCCAAAACGGGCGAGAAGGGGCCAGAACGGGTCCAAAATGGGCGAGAACGGACCCGAAACGGGCGAGAACGCAACAGAAACGGGCGAGAAAGCAACAGAAACGGGCGAGGACGGACCCGAAACGGGCGGGGACGGACCCGAAACGGGCGAGAACGCAACAGAAATGGGCGAAAACGGACCCGAAACGGGAGGGGACGCAACAGAAATGGGCGAAAACGGACCCGAAACGGGAGGGGACGCAACAGAAACGGGCGAGGACGGGCCCAAAACGGGCGAGAACGGACCCGAAACGGGCGAAAACGGACCCGAAACGGGAAGGGACGCAACAGAAACGGGCGAGAAAGCAACAGAAACGGGCGAGGACGCAAAAGAAACGGGCGAGGACGCAACAGAAACGGGCGAAAACGGACCCGAAACGGGAGGGGACGCAACAGAAACGGGCGAGAAAGCAACAGAAACGGGCGAGGACGGGCCCAAAACGGGCGAGAACGGGCCAGAACGGGTCCAAAACGGGCGAGAACGGACCCGAAACGGGCGAGAACGCAACAGAAACGGGCGGGGACGCAACAGAAACGGGCGAGAACGGACCCGAAACGGGCGAAAAGGGACCCGAAACGGGCGAGGACGGACCCGAAACGGGCGGGGACGCAACAGAAACGGGCGAGGACGCAATAGAAACGGGCGAGGACGCAACAGAAATGGGCGAAAACGGACCCGAAACGGGAAGGGACGCAACAGAAACGGGCGAGGACGGGCCCAAAACGGGCGAGAACGGACCCGAAACGGGAGGGGACGCAACAGAAACGGGCGAGAAAGCAACAGAAACGGGCGAGAAAGCAACAGAAACGGGCGAGAAAGCAACAGAAACGGGTCCAAAACGGGCGAGAACGGACCCGAAACGGGCGAGAACGCAACAGAAACGGGCGGGGACGCAACAGAAAAGGGCGAGGACGGACCCGAAACGGGCGAGAACGGACCCGAAACGGGCGGGGACGCAACAGAAACGGGCGAGGACGGGCCCAAAACGGGCGAGAAGGGGCCAGAACGGGTCCAAAATGGGCGAGAACGGACCCGAAAAGGGCGAGAACGCAACAGAAACGCACAGAAAACGGGCGAGAAAGCAACAGAAACGGGCGAGAACGCAACAGAAACGGGCGAGAACGCAACAGAAACGGGCCGAAACGCACAAAAACCGGGCTCAAACGCATAAAAAACGGGCGCCAACGGACCTGAAACGGGAGAGAACGCAACAGAAACGCACAGAAAACGGGAGAAAACGGAGCCGAAACGGGCGAGAAACGGGCGAGAAACGGGCGCCAATGGACCCGAAACGGGCGAGGACGCAACAGAAATGGGCCCCAACGGAACTGAAACGGGCGAGAACGCAGAAAAAACGGGCTCAAACGCATAAAAAATGGGCCCCAACGGACCCGAAACGGGCGAGGACGCAACAGAAATGGACGAGGACGCAACAGAAACGGGCGAGAACGCAACAGAAACGCCCGAAACGGGCGAGAACGCAACAGAAACGGGCGAGGACGCAACAGAAACGGGCGAGGACGCAACAGAAACGGGCGAGGACGCAACAGAAACGGGCGAAAACGGACCCGAAACGGGCGAGAACGCAACAGAAACGGGCGAGGATGGACCCGAAACGGGCGAGGACGGACCCGAAACGGGCGAGGACGCAACAGAAACGGGCGAGGACGCAACAGAAACGGGCGAGGACGCAACAGAAACGGGCGAGGACGCAACAGAAACGGGCGAGGACGCAACAGAAACGGGCGAGGACGCAACAGAAACGGGCGACAACGCATAAAAAACGGGCGCGAACGGACCCGAAACGGGCCGAAACGCACAGAAAACGGGCTCAAACGCATAAAAAACGGGCGCCAACGGACCCGAAACGGGCGAGAACGCAACAGAAATGGGAGCGAACGGACCCGAAACGGCCGCCAACGGACCCGGAATGGGCCCCAACGGTCCCGAAACGCATAGAAAACGGGCGCGAACGGACCCAAAACGGGCGCGAACGGACCCGAAACGCACTAGAAACGGGCGGGAACAGACCCGAAACGGGCGAGAACGCAACAGAAACGGGGGAGAACGCAACAGAAACGGCCCCCAACGGACCCGAAACGGGATCAGACACCCAGAAACACTCCAGAAATGGGCCGAAACGCCCCAGAAACGGGCGCGAAAGGACTCGAACCGGGCTCAAACGCACCCGAAACGGGCTCAAACGCTCCAAAGCCACTCCAAAAACGGGCTCAAACCCACCAAAACTGGGATCAGACACCCAGAAACAGGCAGAAACACCCCAGAAACGGGCTCAAACGCACGAGAACAGACCTGAAACAGGCTGAAACACCCCAAAACCACTCCAAAACGGGCTCAAACCCACCAAAAACGGGACCAGACACCTAGAAACACCCCAGAAACGGGCCGAAACGCACCCGAAACGGGTCGAAATGCACCAGAAACGGGTTGAAACGCACCAAAACCGGGCTCAAAGGCACCCGAAACCGGCTGAAACACCCGAAACCCACTCCTAAACGGGCTCAAACCCACCAAAACCGGGATCAGACACCCAGAAACACCCCAGAAACGGGCTCAAAGCCACCAAATTTGGGATCAGACACCCCGAAACGGGCGCAAACGCAGCAGAAACCCTCCAAAACCGGGATCAAACGCTCCAGAAACGGGATGAAACATCCAGAAACGGGCTCAAACACACCAAAACCGGGCTGAAACGCATCAGAAACACCCCGAAACGGGCGCAAACACACCAGAAACGGGCTGAAACACCCCAGAAACGGGCTCAAACGGCCAGAAACACCCCAAAACCGGGGGCAAACGCAACAAGAACACGCCAGAAACGGGCTGAAACACCCCGAAACCCCTCAGAAACGGGCTGAAACGCCCAGAGATAGGCGCAAAAGCACCAGAAACACTCCAAAAAGGGGCTAAAACACACCAAAACCGGGAGGAAACACCCAGAAACGGGCTCAAACGCCCCAGAAACGGGCTGAAAAACGCCAAAAACGGGCTCAAACGCCCCAAAACACCCCAAAACCAGGCTAAACCACCCCCAAAACGAGCTAAAACACCCCGAAGCACACCAAAACCGCGCTCAGACATCCCAAAACGGGCTCAAACACCCCAGAAACGGGCTCAAACATCCCAGAAACGGCCCAAAACTGGGATCAGATGGCCCAAAACACCCAAAAAATGGACTCAAATGCCCCAAAACAGGGCTAAATCACACCAGAAATGGGCTAAACCTCTCCAATAACGGGCTCTGACACCCCAAAACGGGCTGAAACACCCCAGAAACGAGCTGGAACACCCCAAAACAGAAGCAAAACCGGGCTAAACCACCCCAAAATGAGCTAAAACACCCCCAAATCTGGGCTCAAACGCCCACAAACACCCCCAAAACTGGGCTCAAACACCCCAAAACCCGGCTTAGACAAGACAGAAACGGGCTGAAACACCCCAAAAACAGGCTAAACTACATCATAAACGGGCTAAAACGCCCCAAAACACCCCAAAAAGGGTTCAAACACCCCAGAAACCGGCTAAAACGAACCAAAACACTCCCGAAACGGGTTCAGGCAACTCCGAAACGGGCTAAAACGCCACAAAACACCCCGAAAACGGGCTAAAACACCCCAGACATGGGCTGAAACACCCCAAAACCGAGCTAAAGTAC